TGAATTTGTGTGTTTAGATGGGAGTTGTGTGAGTTGCTGCTGTTTGTTTGTGAAGGATTAGCGAGGACAGTCCGAGCCGCCTGGATCTTGGTCCAAACATTCAGATCCTGGATTCAGACAGGGCTGCTCCATATTGGGAAAAAAACTGGAGCATCTGAGGTGGTTTGGTTTATGATCTGGATTTCTGAACTTATTTATAGTTTGTGTTGAAATATTTCTGTTTGTCTGGCTGAATTTGTCAAATACCTTCAGTGCTATAGTGGTACTAAAGGACATGAAGAATCCAGGATTTGTGAAGTAAAATAATCAGGATTTTCAGGTTATTTTGTTTTAACGTTTTCCATTTTTTATATCAGTTAACTTCAGATCTGTCAGTTGAACCTGGACATGTTTGGTATCAATAGAGTTAAAAAACCTTGGCTTAAAGTTCATGGAAACTATTTTTACATTTACCAAACAGTTTAAACAACAGGCAGTTGAATCAGAAAGTAAACAAATACATTACAACAAATTTGTAAAGATTTTTGACATTATTTTTAAAGCAAGTCAAAGTAGAAACCTAAACAAATAAAGTGTGTTCAACGTTTGTTTTGTTTTGTTTTTTACTTGATTTTGAGTGAATCTGATCCAACTGAAGTCAAATATAATTTCTCATTTTATATAATATATATATGGCGACAAATGTTTGGATAACTTTTTTCAAAAGAACAAACATTCAATAACAAGTCTTTTAAGGCAGGTAAGAAAAAATAAATAACTTTTGCGATTAAAAACTCTTAACATTTATTAACGTCATCATGGTCTGTCCTGAATGACAAAATGCAAAATTCATTCTTTACTAAAACCTCTGTAACTTTGCTCCAGTTCATTTTAGCAGCATGAATCTTTGCACAGGTGATGTCCACAAGTGGATTTATGGTTTCCAAGAGTTTTTAGCCTGATATATTATAATTTTAAATGTGAAATATACTGTTTAATGAAAAAATTATTCAGGTGAGAGTGAAAAAAATAAAATAAACAAATGATGTTCCATCCCCAATATCTCTAAAACCCCAGCAGCTGTTTTAATACTTACACTTCTGATGAAATCTCCCAGGTGTTAGCTTTATTTTGATAACAAGATTATTTAAGTAGAGTTTATAARTGCTGAGATACACTCAGTTACACTTCAGCATGGCATTTCAAGAAAAAACATGAAGAAAACGTGGGGTTTAAGAGGTTGAAGCATGCCTTAAGGCCCTGACAGCTTCAGTTCTTCAGCTTCAGACATTTTTGTAGTTGCAGAAACTTTTCACACTTTATGAAATTGAGCTGATTGAACTTCCTGTTCAGAGGATCAGTTTTCAGTTGTTCTGATGATTGAACKTCTCTGCAAACAGTGTTTTTTAAAACCCTAACGGCGTGGCTAAATGTGAGCGATGAATGTGTGTCGGTGTGGGGGAGCTAAATTTGAAGCTCACAACTCGGTGCAGAGGAGTCAGTTTACAGGGCTACTGTACGACCGACCGTCTGCAGCCTCGCCTGGCTCGGTCCGGGCCGGCCCGGCCCGCTGGCRTGTCTTATCAATTCAGCCGTGCTCTGCTGAGCGATAGGAGAACCGCCGCCACTCCCAGCTCACCCATGTCTGCTGCAGACGAGTCTCAGTCCTTCAGGTGAACGTTTTAATGCAGAAAGCTGCTGAAACGCAGCGCTGCAGGACGGAGGCTGATCGTTTGATTTGAGCCTGTCACTTTGATTGATTTGTTTATTAATTGATTAATTGGTTTTGTGTCTGCAGATCAACAAAATGCTCTGAAAGTCGTTCGAGCCAGCAAGCCGAGATTGAGAAAATCCAGCAAGGTAACTTTCTATTATTATATTGAACTTTTTTTCCTGCTTCCATAATTTAATAATTTCTACACGTTTCAGGTTCTAAMCCACAAAACAGCAGCAGACCTTCAGACACATTTATTTCAGGTTAATGTGTACAAATGTTTCTAAATACATGAAAAAAAAGAATACAGCGACATCTTTATCACCCCCACCTCACTGATGTGAAAGTTAGATGAAAYGTGACCCGAGCGTTCAGACTGAGGTTGCTTTGAAAAACACCAGATTAGGGCTGCCACAAACGATTATTTTATAATCGATTAGTCGACTAATCAGATCATACGTTAATTGAATATAAAACAGAGCTTATCGCGCCAGAATGCTGCTGTTATTATATAACCATGGTTAGATTTTAGCTATATGCTAAYTAAAAATAATTGCTGTGGAAGTAAGTTCTGCTCTGCAGATATTACACAGGTTTCTCTTTCATTTTCTTAAAATGATCCCACACTTTGAGCTCT